GTGGATATGATCAGGAGATAGGCTTCCCTTTTCACATGTAATGCTTAGCAACTGTTATTGGTTCTTGTCTCAATGGTGGAATATTATGAGGTATGCTTGTAGCTTGGCTAAATGGCCATGATTGCTGTCTATTGTTACATAATGTAGGGAGAAAAAGCTCCCACCTCCAGGAAAGATTTGTGATCAAAAGGACCAATAGCAGAAGTCATATAAAAGCAGAGACAAAACCACCACTTTGAAACAAAAATAAAATTCTGGCCAAGTGTTCACAGGCAGTGTGTGTGCACGGTAGAAGCCTCCAGCAGTGGGTGAGTGGGGGTATCCTCTCACTCAGGCCTCTCCTCTAGTTACCACCATGGAGTTGCATGGATAGGTATCGAGAAGTTAATGGTTGAAAGATTGTCCACTATTTTTGTCTCTGAAGATCAGTTAGGTATCTGCGTGTGCACAGAGTAATTCTCGAGGTAGTTGTGTCAATTTATATTGGGGTTTTACAGATTGTTCTATGGTTTGTCTGTCAGGCCTGATGAGCCTGCTTTTTTCTTGCTATATAGGTCTGGATAAGGGTCCTGCACAAGGAGCTCCAGTAGTGCAGTGGTCATGAATCGGGCTACGAACCACAAGGTCAGCAGTTCAAAACCACCAGCTGCTCTGTGGGAGAAAGACAAGGTGCTCCACTCCTGAAAAGACTCACAGCCTCAGAAATCCCTTACAGGGTCACCACAAGTCAGAACTGACTCCATGGCACACAGCAACCAAGAGTCCCTCACGAGTCAATTTTAGTGGTTGAACTACTTTTTGAGTCATTTAATTGAGGCCAATTATTAAATTGAAACTATCAGAGCACTGAGATACAGACAAATGAAAGATTTTCTAACTTCTTCCTTCAACTATTCAAGTCTTCGGTACTGTCTACCTGCCTCCAAAGTTAACAGTTTTATAAATCATACACTTAATGAATGATTATTTTTCAATCTTCATTTTGATTCTTAGGATATTGATGAAATTGTATCCATAATAAATCGGTAATATCCATCTTGGAAAGTACCCTTAGCACTGAACAGTACCTCTCTCTCTCTCTCTCTCTCTTTTTTTTCAATGTGCCATTCTCCAGCTTTCCACACTTGGGATGGGAATTTCTTCATCTTTAGTATATAAAAATACAAAATTATCTACTTATAGTTTGTTCTTAATGTCTTATTGAACATAAAGTATACCATGGTGAACCTACTGGTATTTAAAATACCAGTGGCATAACTTCCAGATTCACAAAAACATGTACACCTTTACAGTAAGACAAACTGACAGGTGAATGGTGGGTCTTATTGAAAGTACAGGTTAATTATCTTATTTATGCTAAAGAGCTCATGTACTCATTGACCAAGCATGTTTAGAAAGGGATTTTGTCCTCCAATGAGTAATTAGATCTTCAAATCATCAAATTAAGGTTATACCCTTGAGGAACAAAGTATTTTAATTGCTTGTTCAAAAATTAAAAAAAAAAAAAAATACTTTAGGGATTATGCCTCACAAATATAGTATAAATCTTTCTACCTTGTTGTGACAAAACATGGTGAATCAATCTTTACAGGTAGGTCATTTCTATATTTTTATGCTAAAAAAATGAATTTATTTCTTTTGTGTAGAAATTAGTATTCCATCCAGTTGAACAAAAGAAGCTGAAATTCTTCATTTTCAATTGACTTTTCTATTCATATATTAATAATTATTGTTGTTGTTAAGTGCCATGGAGTGGGTTTTGACTTACAGGGACCCTGTAAAGCATTTCTGAGGCTTTAAAAATCTTTACTGGAATAGAAAGCCTCAATTTTCTACTGCAGAGCAGCTGGTGGATTTGAACCACTGACCTTGTGGTTCTCAGTCCAGTGTTTATCCTATGACACCACTGTGCTCCCATATTAGTATTATTATATCGCATATTTAAAAGTCAATTGTTATATTTAAATTATTCTGATATATATGTGAAAATCAAATGAGCAAGGTCTTAGGATAATTACAGAGGAATTATCTAGAGGAGTTCTGGCATCGTACTGCAGGATAAACACTGGGTTGTTAACCACAAGGTTGGCAGTTCAAATCCACCAGCTGCTTCTTGTAAACCCTATACAGAGTCAGTATGAGTTGGAACCGACTCAATGGCACTTAACAACAATAAAACAATTTTGGCAATCTGTTAGTACCATAGAAAAAGTAAGAGTTCAACAATCAAAACTTTTAGCCAGATTCTTGTATGGCTTATTTACTCTTAATACACCACTTTCTCAAAATTCTACTCTGAATGACTATCTAAAAGCATTCCTTATTACACTTCTCCCCCACCTGCATTTTTCATCACTGTTCTTCTTTCATCATGACATACATTTGTGGGTATGCTTCTATTACAACACTGCATGCTTTGAAAATATAGACAATATGTTCACTGATGTAGCCTCAACTCTAAGAACAGAAGAAACCAAGCTTTGCAGTGCAAAAGAAAACTAGTGGCTGAATTTACAACAGGCAGTTAAATTTTTTATTCTGAGTCTTCTTATATATTTGTCAAGAGATAAATTTTGCTAATCTAATGTTTTCTCAATGAAATTTTACCCAAAAATTATGGATTATATGTAAAAATCTTATACTGAGCATTTAGCTTTTATCTTGTTGTAGGTTATCAGAGTTGGAGAGACCAAACAGATCTAACATCCTGCATTTATTCTTGCATTACATTAGATCATGGATTCAATCATCTCCTCTCTGTATTTGATATTCATTTCTTTCTGCTTTTTTTTTTTTTTTCCACTCATGAAGTTGGAAAAAATCCCAAATGCTGAGTTTTTCAAGGACAAAAATATAAATGTATCAGTATGTGTATACATGTACATATGTAAAATTTTGTTGCTACTAGGGTTTCAGTTGATAAATGGTGAAGGAGGTGGTGATGGTGTGGCATTGAGTATGTTCTGATTCATAGTGACCCTGTATAGAGTTTTTGAGACATAAATCTTTAGGGGAGCAGACAACCTCATCTTTCTCTCAGGAAGGGACAGGCAACTTTGAACTACTGACCTTGTTTGCAGCCCAGCACATAACTCACTACACTACCAGGGCTCCTTACTCATTTCATACATACATGAGTTTATTCCAAACACAACTTGTTTAAACGTGTCTCTGTAATCAATGGATGGCTGCAGACTATACACTTGTCTGATTATTAATACACTTGTCTTAGTCTTGTTAAAATGTCTTAAAAAAAATGTTCCCATCACAACAGGGTTTTATGACATCTCCTGGGGCAGTTAAACTCAAGGAATACAGGTCAGCTTAGAAGTTTATTACACCTCTATTTTGGTATTCCAAAGGCATCCTCTTAATAGATTATATGGAAGGAAATAGGATGATCACAGACGCTGATTGTGAAGAAAATAAAAACGTCACTGGTGGACAAAGGCTAGGAATGTTATGCCTAGGCCTTTATACATCAAAGCAATATACCTGCTCATTACATGTAGATAGGAAGGATTCTTGTAGGAAAATTTCATTGGGAAACATAAATGCATCAGCCCAACAGCCATGATTTTGATTTTTTGCATGTCTTTTTGTTCCACAAACACAAAGAAAATTTAAAAAGGAACACAATTTGAGACCTACCAGGATACCCAAACTTCTGTTTTGACATGGTGTACATTGAAGAGTGTACACATCTTCAGGAAAGGATTGTTGTTGTTAAGTGCCGTCGAGTCGATTCCGACCCATAGTGACCCTGTATAGGATTTCCAAGGAGCAGCTGGTGAACTTGAACCACTGACCTTGCAGTTTAAATAGCTTTGCAGTCTGGTGCATTAACTCACAGCACCACATCAAGAAAGGATTAGACAGAAGGAAACACTGTCTTCAGAAGTGTGTAAATGTATATAGAAGGTGTTTCAAGAAACAATAGTTTTACATTTGAGATTTTTGTTTAATAAAGGCTTTTATGATTTTGTAGAAATATTTGTTGATTACCTTTGTAGTGTGTGTGTATGTGTGTGTGTGTGTGTGTGTGTGAGGGAGGGAGGGAGACAGAGGGATAGTGAGAAAGAGAATCAAAGAAAGAGAGGAAGAAAGAAGGGGGAGAGAAAGAATTTTAAGTACAGGAAGAAAGAGAGACAGAGGGATGAGCTTTTGTAGTTAGTTGTTATCAAGAAGATTATGAATAAGGTTTATGTGGCCATTCTTATGTGTATGCTTGTAAAGAAGCATAATATAAGCATAATTGATTCATGGATGAAAGGACCAATGAGTGAATGATAAAATAAATGGAATACATGTGGAATCAGATTCAGATGGAAATACTCACATTCCTTGCCACTTTCAGTTTACAAAGGATGAGAAAATGTCTCCCCAAAACCATACTACAATGACTGAATTCACACTCTTGGGACTCACTGATGATCCAGTGTTGGAGAAGATCCTGTTTGGAGTATTTCTGGTAATCTACTTAGTCACGCTGGTGGGAAATCTGTGTATGATCTTGCTGATCAGGACCAATTCCCGTCTCCAAACTCCCATGTATTTCTTCCTTGGGCACCTCTCTTTTGTAGACATCTGCTATTCCTCCAATATCACTCCCAATATGCTGCACAACTTCCTCTCAGACCAAAAGACCATCTCCTACACTGGATGCTTCACACAGTGTCTTCTCTTCATTGCACTGGTAATCACTGAGTTTTACATCCTTGCCTCAATGGCACTGGATCGCTATGCTGCCATTTGTAGTCCTTTACATTACACTACCAGGATGTCAAAGAAGGTTTGTATTTCCCTAGTCACAGTGCCTTATACATATGGCTTCCTTAATGGACTCTCTCAGGCAGTTTTGACTTTTCACTTATCCTTCTGTGGCTCCCTTGAAATCAATCATTTTTATTGTGCTGATCCTCCTCTTATAATGTTGGCCTGCTCTGACACCTACGTCAAAAAGATGGCGATGTTTATTGTTGCCGGCTTTACTCTTTCAAGTTCTCTTTTCATCATTCTCATGTCCTATCTCTTCATTTTTGCGGCCATCTTGAGGATGCGTTCTGCTGAAGGCAGGCACAAAGCCTTTTCTACTTGTGGTTCCCACCTGACAACAGTCACTATATTTTATGGAACCCTCTTCTGCATGTACTTAAGGCCCCCATCTGAGAAATCTGTAGAGGAATCCAAAATAATTGCAGTGTTTTATGCTTTTTTGAGCCCAATGCTGAACCCATTGATCTACAGCCTAAGGAACAAGGATGTGATACATGCCATGAAGCAAATGTTCAAGGGTAATCTCTCTCATAAAATTGTAGTTTGGAAGTCCTGTCTTTTGTAAACGCTAAAGACCTGTGATAACATAGTGACTCCTATCAAAGGAGTCACAAAGTGACTCATATCTATTACTCTATGTTAATATGTTGTTTACCATTGGGAACTCTCAATGATCACTTTGTCTAATCTGTCCTCAAAATTAATAACTTTAAGACAGATTTGCTTAAACTTTTATTTTTTAACATATATGAATGTTTTCTTTGGCATAGAGTCTCTGAAGGTGAATTTGTTCTTTTCTAATAATTGTGTGTGATGATATTCTTATTTATTTGATGCTGAATTTTACAACTAACTTAAGCTAATGGAAAAAATAGAAATCTACCTTCTCTAAATTTTATGATCATTGGTGCCATGTTAGATTTAAGACAGGTTGACTAACTTAATAAAAAGAAAAGTGAAATAACTTCTATTACAATTTCTTCTATAGAATATTCAATTTGAAGCCTGAGTCATTGGATTAACTTGGAAAAATACATATCTGTATCATCCATACATTAAAAATGTCTATACATTTTCCCCAAACCATATCATGGATACCTTGAGAAGGAGCATCATAAATTTATTTGATAAACTATGATACTGGTTATATGCATCAATTTTGAAAATTGTCTGTTAACACTACTTATAAATTTCCAAGAAAATGGATCTAATACAGTCATCAGGGTAGTAAAATAACATTTCATTTAATTTTCTAGTGTGGTTGCTATAATTCTTGGTTAATTTACAAACAGTTAATTGTTGTTGTTAAGTGCTGTTGAGTTAGTTCTGACTCATAGTGACCCTCTATAGGGTTTCCAAGGAGCAGCTGGTAAACTTGAACTGTCGACCTTGCAGTTCAAACCATCCTTTCAATCTAGTGTGTTAACTCACAGTGTCACACCAACACTCCAAAGAGTCAATAGACTCTATCTATTTTTTGTTCAGAACCAACGTCCTGAAACAGTACAGAAATGAGTACAGAAACAGTACAGAAATTAGTACAAATGTGTGATTTAACAGTGCACAAATGAGTACATATGTGAAGACATAATGATTACTTAATGTTCACAAGCACTCTGTAACTCATGCTTTTCTAGTGAAGGCTAGTCCAGTAGTTTTTAATAGTTGTATTGGGAACATTAGTAACAAGGTAAAAGAAGAGTCATAATTTAACCAGATTAATCCACCCGTTATTATTCAACCATGGCTGCATACTGACTCATATGTTTGTTGATGTTGTTAAGTGCCATCGAGTTGGTTCTCACTCACAGTGACCCTGTACAAGGTTTCCAATAAGAGTTTAGTTGGTTTGAACCACCAACCTTGCCCTAAATATTTCATATTCTAATATTGTATACTCTGATTTTACAAACACCACTATAAGAAATATTTAAATAAAATCAGCTACTATTTTTACTGTTTTGTTGTGGTAGTGAAATGCCATCTATTCAGTTCTGACTCATAGGCACCCTGTACAGAGTTTCCAAGGAGCAACTAGATGGTTTGAGGAGTTTCTGACCTTGTGGTTAGCAGTCCAGTCCTTCTCTGACAGCACCACATCAGGTCTCCATGTATTTACTGTAAGGTGTTCAAATTTTTCACAGAAAATACTCCAGATGACTTGCAATTGTTGCAAAGGTGGCATCCATCTTAAATCTGAATTGATTATAGAAAGCTCTAATTATCAACATTCTCATAAAACACAGTAGCTGAAGAAATGTTATTGTTGTTACTGTGCACCATCAAGTTGGTTCTGACTCAGCTAACTGTATAGGGTTTCTGAGAGCAGCTTGTGGGTTTGAACTGTCAAACTTTTGGTTACCAGTCAAATGCTTATTATACAGCACCACACCAGGATACTTTCTTGGGGACTAGAATAGAAGGACAATGATTGTTAGCGGCAGTGGATGATAAACATTTGACAACTAACCACCAGTTCAAATCCACTAGCTGATCCTTGGGAGAAAGATGAGGTTTTTCTGCTCCTGTAAAGATTTATGTGTGTGTTTAAGTGCCATTGCATTACAATCTCAGAAACCCAATATATCACCACTGAACCAATGGTATCTAAAAGCAGCAAAAGACTATAAAGGAGTCTTCACAAATTTGAGAAAAGGAAATAAAAGATAATGGAATTTTTTTCAGGAATTTTTTAGTCCCCTGGTATAATACTTAATGTTAGAACCAATTGTTCATAAATTTGTTTGGTTTTTAAGTAGTCTACATTGTGTCAATGTAGGATAAACACTTGACTACAAGATCTGTTTGAACTAAAAGGTATGTGAGTTACTCCTCAGAAACCTTATACAGGGCCTCTATGAGTCTCAACTAATTTGAAGGCACAAGAACACAACACACACAGTGATGGAGCAGCAGATGATCTAAGGAAAGACAATAATGAAACAGGAGATTAGAAATGAGTGAACAAGGGTCCTGATGATGCCAGACATGGTGCATTTCTTGGTGGAAAACCAGTATCATGGAATCCCTTAACATTTAATAAGTTTCCTTTTCTATGGTAAGAAGGATGTTTCCATTTCTAGCAACGAAAATGGTCAGAAACTGAGATTTGTGACATTTGAATGTGTATTTAGAGTCACTGTAAACATTACTCTTTGTTTTGTCTAAATAACTGTATAATTCCTTCTATTGCTTTAGTCTGGAAACTACCATGGCTGTTAGTATCCAAATTTATATCCAATCTAGGTAACTCTCTTTAATTTACTATCAGGTTTATTTTAGCCTCTCCATATTTTTATTTTATTTATTTATTTTCATAATGATTTACTATGCAAGACTTTGGTTGATAGTCACTGCAGAACAGCTTACAGATAGGATAGAATATAAGATAAACACTGGTGTACAAACTACAATTTCTGAGGTTTGAGCCAACCAGCTATTCTGCAGAAGAAAGATATGACTTTCTGTTTCCATGAAAATTAAAAGCCTTGGAAAATCTATACAGGTAGCTATGAATCAGAACCAACTCAATGGCACTTTAACAATGATATTCATAAAATAGTTTTAGGTGACAACTATAAGTTAAGTGCTCATTTTTATATTGCTACTTATTTTGATTCTCAGAAATGAATGAGATAGAATTATTATCTTCTTTTACTAATTTGAATTTTTTTGGCACAGAGCTATTAAAAAATTGCCCAAAGTCAGTGAGTCACCAAATAGCACACAAGTGCATTACTTCAATTCTCTTTCCAATACACACTACTGTGATTATTAAATTCCCAACACACTGCAAATTCTGGATGGCATGTTGGAGACTATGAATCAGTAAGGTTATTGCTATAGATAAATTCATGGTAACAATGATGAGTGATATTTATCCTGGCAATAGCTGATGAGGATTTTCTCTGATATTTCAAATTAATAGAATAATCTATGTGCATTGTAAGTAGAATTATTTTATATTCACAATGTAAAAACAAGCAAATTTTGAAATATGGGTTGATCTATTAAAACTGTATTTTAGTAATATACTTTCCAAGTTATAAAAAAAAATACATGCTCAACATAAATAGCTAAGAAAGACAAACAGATATGAAGATGTAAAATATAGATCTATGAACAATTTCTGTTTGCATTTTGTTATAGTTATTCTGCATACATTTATATGGTGGATACATGTTATTATAGGAATTCTGTGTGGCACTATAGAATAAGCACTGACCCACAAGTTCAGTTTGAACTGTATGGTTGGTGTTTCAAATCCACCAGCCACTCTTCAGAAACACTATACAAGGTCACCAAGAACTGGAACCAACTCAATGGCACTTAACAACAACAACAACAACATGTGATTATAATTTATAAAACATATTTGAAAGCATATGCCCTATACGCATGTGAACAATGAGTTTCTTTTGATAGCATAGTTGCTTGTATTTTTATACAGATTTACTATTTTTTGGTGATCATCATTTTTAGTGTGGTTCTGGTGTGGTGCTGTAGGATAAACACTGGATGCTAATGAAAGGTTGATGGCTCAAACTCAGCTGCTTCTCAGAAATCCTATGCAGGGTTGCTATGAGTTAGAAATAATGACATTGAATAACACTATTTCATAATTTAACCATTTTGAATTTCATTTATAACAATGCTGTTGCTGTTGTTAAGTGCTGTGGAGTTGGATTCAATTCATTGTAACCCTGTATAGGGTTTCCAAGACTTTCTAAAATCTTTGCAGAAGCAAAAAGCCTTATCTTTCTCTGGTGGGCTGGAACCACTGACCTTGTGGTTTTCAGTCCAGTGCTTATACTATGGAACCACCATGCTTACTATGTATAAGAATAATACATAGTAAATGTAGGAAAAAAAATAATACTGAAAGAAATAAGAATGCTTACTTGTAATTTCCTACTAATCTAGAGCTTTACTTCGCATTGTGATGCATTTTGTTCCCAAAATCTTCCAACACATCAATGTTAATATGTTAATATGATTGCCTATAACTCTTCAGTTCTTTCTTTAGAACACATTCATACAAGTGGAATTGCTAGTCAAATGTTTTGATCATATTAAAGCTCTTGATAAATATTTCTATAAATAAATTTTTCTTACAGAAAACTCTGACAATGAATACATATGGTTGGTAATGTTTGAAAGTATTCATTTCAATATACTTTAATCAGTGTTCAAAAACAAGGTTTAAAATTATTTGCTAATTTGTTGTCTCAACTGGAAATCTTTACAGATTTTGTTTTAATGTGAATATAACTGAATAACATAAACATATAAAATTAAAGGGTATATGTCAATTTTATTGTTACCTTTAAAGATATTTCTGGCAATCCTTAACATGGATACAATTTTTGTTATTTTTATTTTTAAAGTTTTTATTTATTTTGGCTTTGTTTTCTATTTCCTACATCAAGAAAGTAGATAAAAAACACACACACACTCTCATATTGTGCTACTAATTTCTTCTGACCACATTTTATAGACCCATCTTTAATTATATATGAACAGTCTTCAAAAAGATCATGAAAAAATAGAATTGGAAGACAATGG